TGTCAAGGACTTCATTCTTCTTGGATCAACTATCAACACTCACGGAAGAACTAGACTAGAGGGAGATAAAAAAATAGTTTTTGATTAACAAGTGTAGATTGCTACAATTTGATGAATTTGACCTATACTTATGTAGGAGCTCAAAATACCAAATGAAAGGGAAGGAGTCTTCACATCCCTTCTGTATACAGGATTGATAGGGATGGGCAACTTAAGATATTGTTGTTGTTGTTGTTGTTAGTGCCGTGGAGTCGTTTCCGACCCATTGCAACCCTGTACAGGGTTTCCAAGGCTGTAAATCTTTACGGGAGCAGAACGCCTCTTCTTTCTCCCGCGGAACAACTGGTAGTTTCTAACTGTTGACGTTGAGGTTCGCAGCCCGATTCGTAACCACTACGCTACCAGAGCTCCACTTAAAATGGGGGCGGGGGTCTGGGAGGTGGCTAAAAAGGCACAAAGTGACTGGCTTACAAGTTTTCAATAGGGAGCTTAGTTTCGGAGTGTGCTGGGAAAGGTAGAATCTCCACTGAATAGTTTTCATCTTGTCTAGACGTGTCTGGTGAAAGATATGGGGATAAGATTCTTATGATTTAATAGTAATTATTTTTATGACTAATTGTGACTGTCACATTGTAAAGGTAGATGTTTTATAACAAAAAAGGGGGAGTAGTTAATCTTACAGTCCAGAAATAGAGGACCCTAGGACCATCAAGGGAGAAGAGCATGAGTGAAATGCGGGACCCTATCCAGAGAAGCAGGGACATCAGAGATGGAGGCAGAGATGAAGACATAGAGAGAGGGAGCAGCTGAGGACTCTAGACTCAAGGAAAAAGAAAGGCTGTGTGCTGGTGGCCAGGAGGCAGGCTTGTAGAATGTGCCCTTGGGTTGTTTAAATGATTATATATTCCTGAGTGTTTTTGTGTACATGCCAAAAACAAAACCGAGGGAATAGAAGCAAATACTGTTGAATGATGACGCACGGAGGGGATTGTAATCATTGCAATGAAATGATGAGTATAAAACCCATGTTCTCCCATGTCAACTAGCACTCAATTCATAATAAAAACTTGACAAAGAAACCACCTTATTTGTTGTTGTTAGGTGTTGTCACTAACTGACTCATAGCAATCCTATGCACAACCGAATGAAACAACGGCTGGTCCTGTGCCCACCTCACAATCATTGCTAGGCTTGAGCCAACTGCTGCTGCCACTGTGCCAATCCATCTCATTGCAGGTCTTCCTCTTTTAACTGACACTCCACTTTATCACGCATGATGTCCTTCTCCAGGGACTGGTCCCTCCTGATAATATTGCTAGGGACAGAGTAGGGATATACTGAGCCCTCTTCCTCCTTTGACCCGAGAGAGACAGCCCAGGGCCAAGGAGACAGAAAGCAGGACACCAGCTGCAAAGGGAAGCGAAGGAATCTTAAAGGCCTAACCATCAAGCCGAGTCCTCCTATAAAAGTAGCACCAGAAACAGACAGCCACAAAGGACACTGTTTCACAAGGAAACTGAAGGGGGTAACACTCTATTTCGGAGAAGCCTACACCCCTTTGCTAGTAACCAAATATTTCTCCCTTTATTAAGATATAATGAGTGAAGGGCAGTATCAGACCTTTTCCTGAAATCAGGAGAAGAAAACTGTACTTAATCCATGTTCTCCAACCCCATGGTGTCTTCTCCACTCGTGGAGACAGACCACTTCTCTCTCTGAAGTGTGCTTTTGTTTTGCAATAAGCTCCCTCTGAGTGAGTGCTTAATTGTACATGTACGATTGAGAAACGGCGGGTCAGTGAGACTGAATCTTCGTCTCCTGAGAAAGGGAGCCAAGAGGACCTTCCAACATGCCCAAAGTATGAGCCATGAAGTCTGGCCATCCTGGCTTCGAAGAGGCATTCTGGCTGTACTTCTTCCAACACAGATGGTTTGGTTTTCTGATGGCCCATGGCTTTGTTTTAGGGACACTTTCATAAAAAACTGTCTCTTTTTGCAAATGTAAAGTAAGACACGTATTTAGTAGAGTGTCTCTCATTCGTCTGTGTCATGTGCTGGGCAGATCTAAGACCATTTGAGGGATTTTTTGGTGTTTGTTGTTTTCTGGGGGTTTTTTCTATTTTGCAGGAAAGTTCTAATGGTGTGCCCAAATGAGAAAATTAAGAAACATTGTTTCCCTTCCAGTACATAGGGAGGAAAGAGAGCGAGAAAGAAAGATGTTTCTTTTTTTTTCCTTTCTTGTTTTCAACTGGCTTCCCCATCACCCAAGTTAACACCACGTCTATAGTCCTGGTGTGGAACTGCAGGGTAATGCCTTGGACTGCAAGGTCAGTTTGAATCACAAGGTCAGTGGTTCCAACCCACCAGCTGCTCCTAAGAAATCCTACACAGGGTCACTATGGGTCGGAGCCAATTCAACAACACTGAACAACAACACACTTTACCTAGTGACTAATTCTCCCTTCACTCCCACCCTTGGTGACCATCATAGGCTATTTACTGTAGAATGGAAACCTTTTCTTGACTTCTTTCAGAGATCTCTTACTGCATCTGCCCCTTTGCAATCGAGTAGTTTCCCTCAGCATAATGTCCTCCAGGAGCCTCCATGATATGCGGTGTTTTGTAGATTCATCGTCCTTCTTCAGTGCTGCGTAGTATTCCGTTGTGTGTATGTTTCCAAGTCTGTTCAGTCCCTCCTGTGTGGATGGGTGTCTAGGCTGTCTCCATGTGAACAGTACTGCAGTGAACACGGGTGGGCATACATCTAGTCATGTCATGGCTCTTAGTCCTTGAGGATACATACCAAGTACAGGGAATGCTGGGTTCAGAGGAGGATATTAAATGCAAACAATAAATACCCCAATCCTGGAAAACATGATGGGTGAGATGAGAAGTATCTATTTATTAAATACTTACATCATATTTATCCTTTTGTGTATACTTTACAGTGGGTGTGTGTCTGAATTTTTAAAAAAAACTATTTTCTGCCCCCAAATAGATAGGTCACACCATTATTGTGTGTCACCATGTAATTACATTTCTTGCATTGACAGATTCAGATTGCTTCAAATTGCAAGGCAAAAATAAACATTGTTTCTTGAAGGGTGTACATTTTTATGTCTCTAAAACTTGGGAAGTTTGAAGATGTCTTATATTCATGTGGAATTGATGTGTGTCCTTCCTTGTCCTTAAACCCAATGCGGGGAGGCAGCTTCAGTCTGTTTCTGGTAGCCACGCCACTTTAATGTATCTAATTTGTGGGGGAAGGTAAAATTTGGGGTCCCAGCTGTATTCTGGCGATAGCAATTTAGAGGGCTTATTCAGGAAAAAGTATTTGTTTATGTGGTTTTCAAAGGTGCTATTGAGTTTCTTCTTGGTATCATGAAAAAAGCCCTTTAGATATTCATCAATGAAGCTTAGAATCTCCTGTGGTTTGCCACCAACAATGGCGCCATTGTAATAGAAATCTCCCAGTCCAAGCGGGATGCAGGCTGCTGACCAAGGCCTCCTCTCATAGGGTAAATTCTTAGTGTTCTGGAAATACCACCACGCGTGGAGCTGGGCCACTGAATCTCCCAGGGTCTCCACCCCAAAGTCACTATAGAAGACCTGATTGACGGCCATGCTGAAGAGGAAGTCCACTTCCTTCTGGATGTGTCCTACGATGTGGTCGCCCAAGTTCTTCATGCGTATGAGGTTAAGGTCGTACTGCCAGTACTCTTTGTCGACTTGAAGGACTTTGAACGTTCGAAGAGGGCCTAACTTTATGGCAGGAAGCTGGAACAAGGCATCCACCATGACATAAAAAATAACCTTGTAGCCAGCCATGAAGTGCTTGTCAGCAGATTGGATGAACAGTTCCAGGTACTCGTCTACAAACCTATGAAACACACACAGGGGAAGGAAAAGCTTTGCTTTGCAGCATTATCAAGAAAGCTGTGCTGTCAAATCAGTTCCAACTCATAGCAACTCTATATCGGGTCTCCAAGGAGTGGCTGGTAGGTTTGAACCACCAACCTTGTGGCTACCAGTGCAGTGTTCATCTTAGAGCACCACACCGGGACTCCTGTCAAGAGAACGTATACCATTAAACGTGTTGGCTGGTCCCTGCTGACACCAACAGTTTGTGTTCACCTGCTAGCCCATCTGGGTGGTTTGGGAAGTTTTGTTGACCTGTTTCCATTAAGATCCCATCCTTGAAAAGTCTGGAGCAGTCCTACTTTATACACAGGGGGCTCCATGAGTCAGAATCAGTGGAAGCTAAGGACAACAAGCTGCCGGTTGGTACATGGATGTGAAGGATGGTGGCCATGTAAGGGGCGGGGGTAGGGTGATCTTGCTTGTATTGGTTAGTGAACCTGGGGGTCTGAGAAGTCCTGGTAAGTTCTGGAACAACTGTGCTGAACACAGAAAGTAATAGTCAAATGGATGTTATGAAGGGATTCCCAAACACCACTAAGAATCCAGCTCAGGTTTAGGAAAAGGTCGCTACAACTCTTTATTTAAGGAGCGCTGGTAGCGTAGTGGTTATGAGTCAGGCTGCTAATCTCACCGTCAGCAGTTTGAAACTACCAGCCGTTCCATGGGAGAAAGATAAGGCTTTCTGCTCCAGTAAAGCCTTACAGCCTCGGAAACCCTGTCCAGGGTCACTGTGAGTTGGAACCAACTCCATGGCACATAACCACCACCACCATCACCACAGTGCCATGGAGTCTTGGCATGGCACTGTAGCATAAGCACTGGACTGCTAACTACAAGGCTAGTGGTTCTAATCCATCAGCCGCTCTTTAGAAACCCTGGACAGGATCGCTATGACTTATAACTGACGCTACAGTACTTAAGACCAACAACGTCTCATTCAGGACAGCTAGAAATAATGGCTACAGTTAATCATGAGCTGCTCTTTAGGTATAGAAAGCCCATGGGGTGCACCTACACATTCCCACAGACCAGCAGTACCTGCCTGCCTACCTGCCTACAGCCAGCACGGCCAGGCCCACGGTGATGTTCTGCCTCTGATAATAGCTGTTCAGGACCTGTCTGTTAAACGTTCCTTCCCAGATGACCGGAGCCTGCCACTCGGTTGTTGTTATAACATCCGGGCGTTTTCTGTGGAACAAAGAGAAGCAGGAACCACGTTTCAAAGACTTTAGAAGTTGATGTCCAAGTGGCATGATTAATGGTTCTCGAGGACCTACCCAGCACTGTATTTAAGTGTCTCAGATTAAAAAGGGAAAATACTGATAACCTCAAAGGCTGGCGAGAAGCTGGGGATGGATGCTGCGTCTCTCGGGCATTATCGGTGGGCATGGAAACAAGGCAGCCACTCTGGAAAACAGTTTGGCAGATTTACAAAACCAAACATGCAACGACCACATAACCCAGCAATTGTGCCCCTGGGCATACAGCCTAGAAGAAGAAGAACATATTCTCATAAAAACCTGTACATGAATGATCCCGGTAGATTGCTTCAGAACGGCCCAGAAGGATCCCATCCAGGTGTCCTCCAACAAATGAGTGGACCAACAGAACAGTGGTTTGTAATGAAAGCAACATCTTTAAAAGGAGGACAGGAGAGTGATTTCCCAGGGCTAGGGCTGGGGGTAGGCTGAAGGGAAGTGGGTGTGGTTGTGAAGGGACCCTTGTGGCGGTGGGCAAGCTCAGTGGCTTGACGGTGGCTGGCGGCATTGTTAGAGGCCCTTCCTCTGACAATCTCGAGACAACTCTTCCTGCCACTCCAATGGGCAGCACCCCATGTAGGAGGACAAGGAGAACTCGGGGAGTCACATTAGAACTTCTGCTTTGGAAAATGGGCTGGCCTGTCTCCTAGGCTGGGCATCTACCCAAGTGAGATTCTTACAAACCTCAGAGCGGCATGGTCCGCAAAATAAGCACACAGAAGCAACCCCAGAGCCTGTGAACAGGATGGTGAGTGAACAACCTGGAGTCATTACGCAGACAATCCGAGCTCCATCAACATGCAAACCATGAGTGGAGCTGGGCAGGGTGACAGCGAGAGAAAAGGGCAAACTCAGACATCTCCGTCCAGGACGGGATCTTCGTGAACTCTTGGCAAACTGGAATTTCAAGGGAGACTTCTTTTCAGAATACTTTAGATGAGACTGAGTAAAGGGAGGGGCAATGGACCAGAATTCAGGAAAGTGGTTTCTTCAGAGGTGGGGACAGGGACAGGGAAAAACATAAAGCTAGATGCAAGACACAGAAGGCTGTAATGTTCGTTTTACTAAAAATTAATGAGCAAAAACAATCAAATTGTCTATCAGCAAGTGGATGGGTAAGTAAAATGTGGTCAGCACTCATGAATGGGTGTCATGTGGGCACAGAGAGAGATGCAGTCCTGACACATGTCTCAACATGGAGAACTCTGGAAACAATACATAAGCGGGTCACGAAAGGCCAAATACTGTATGATGTCACTCAGAAAAATATGGTATTTAAAAAGCAAAGATTACCATTAGTTGGGAGGGAGGGGAGTTTCTGTTTGGGAGCACTGAGTTTATGTGAGAAAAGGGTTGTAAAAACGGTGACACAGGAAAACTGTGATCAGTGTGTCACTGAGTTATAGACAGGACATTTTTTTGTGCTGCTAAATGCTTTAGTGTGTATATTTTCACCACAATAAATCAAATTTTAAAATAAACAAGTAAACAAAAAATATAAGGGGTTTTGAATGAACTAATGTTGAAAGTGTGTCATGAACCAAGCATTGTACGTCATTCTATGCTCTTGTTGTGATATGCCGTGGAGTCGGTTCCGACCCATAGCGACCCTGGACAGGGTTTCCGAGGCTGTAAATCTTTATGGGAGCAGAACGCCTCATCTTTCTCCCACGGAACAGCTGGTAGTTTCAAACTGCTGACCTTGCGGTTCACAGCCCGATTCGTAAACACTACACTAGCAGAGCTCCTTTCTAAACTTTTGAAGCCCATTTAATACACGTACATGGATGGATACATACATGTTGTTGTTGTTAAGTGCTGTCAAGCAGGGTCAGCGGTTTAAGTTCACCAGCGGCTCCTCAGAAACCCTATACGGGGTCACTATGGGTTGGAACTGACACAAAGGCACATATAACAACATATATATGGATATGCATATGTAAACGAATTCAGAGAAGATGAAACACAAATGAATAATCAACACAGAAAAGAGGTTCAGACTCAATAACATAAGTTCTAATCAAAATGAGATCTTTTACTTACTTATAATAATTTTGCCAAGAATAAAAGGCTTGATAACACTGTATTCACTATAAACCTACCCCACCCCCACCCCCACCATCACATCACTTCTGACACATAGTGACCGTGTGTCAGCTTTCTGAGACTGTACATCTTCACAGGAGAAGACAACGTCCGTCATCTTACTTCCAAGGAGTAGCTGGTGGTCTTGACCCACTCAATATCATCAATAAAATGGTACAATTATTAAAGAACAATTTAACAACTTAAGTCAAAATGTGAAATGTTTGCGCCCTTTGGCCTGATGGCCCCATCTTAGACATTTGCATACAGATAGACTCACAGGGAGATACACAAAACCTTGTGCCCCGGGCCATCATGGGAGCTGTGTTTTAAGTAGGCCTCAGTGTAAACAAGCCAAAATCTAGAGGGAGTTGGCTGAATGCATTATGGTATGCACCACGCAAGAGAAAACGGCATAACCACGCAGAAGAATGAGCTTTTCCCACCATCGGCTAAGGACAAATCACGAGGAGCCATGAGTGAAACTTTCAACCTGCTTCCAGAGAGATTTTCTCCTTTACCAAATAAACCGGCTTAACCCAAGTCAACTGTACCAGCTTTCTCATTGCTGTTGGGTGCCCGTCCAGTCAGTTTCGACTCATATGGACCCTACACACAACAGAAGGAAACACTGTGCGGTCCTGTGGCAGCCACGTCATTGTTGCTACGTTTGAACCCCTTGTGGTCGCCACTGTGTCAATCCATCTCATTGAGGGTCTTCCTCGTTTTCTCTGACCCCCACTTTACCAAGCACGATGTCCGTCTTGATAATACGTCTGAAGTATTAGAGATAAAGTCTCGCCATCCTCGCTCCTCCTTCTGACTGTACGTCTTCCAAGACAGATGTGCCCGTTCTTTTTCGTTACCATACTTCATTACCTGATTTTTTACAAGTCGACCCTACGTTTGTATAGTCATAACAATAAAACCTCCAACCTCTGGAAATCTCCCATGAGAGCTACAATCAGATAATGGGAAACCCCCCCCCCCCCAAAACTCAAACGTGACTACTTCAAACTGAGGCCTGTGTGTGTTCGCACATGCATGTGCAGATAGAAACTTGTGTTCTTACCTAGGATTAAACCAGTCTGAGAGCTGGAGTTCTTTTACTTGCTCCCTGGGCACAAAGGGAAAATCATGTTACCAAGAAGAACACATTCATGAGACAGATATTCACTCCGCTGCCTGGCACTGCCTGCAGTTGGTTCTACCACCATGAACACACACACGAGTTTCTGCCCCAGGGAAGCTTCAAGCAGGGATGACAAGCTTAAGTAGACCATGACAATCCCTGTGTGTTAAGATATGACAGGAGATGGTATAGGATCTAGGGAAGTGTATCAGTAGGTGCTCAGCACAAGTTTGGGGTCGTGGGAAGTCACTTGGAGAAGAGACAACTCAGCTGGGTCTGGAAGGGCATGGACCATGTGAAGATCAGTCTCCCTGATCCTGAGACCAGAACTAGGTGGTGTCCAGCTATCACGACCAACTGCTCTGAAAGGGATCACATTAGAAGGTTCTAGGGAGAGTGGAAGAAAATGTGGAACAAAACTCAAAATCATAGAAACAAAACAAAAAGTCCAGGCTACTAAAGGTCAGCGACAAACTGGTAGAAGTTGGACACTATGGCCCTTGGTCACCCTTCAGGTCTGGAACTGAACTCACCCCCATGAATCAAAATTGTTTTAAGTTTTTCTTGTGAATTGAGTGATAGTTTACATGAGAGAACATCAGTTTTACACTCTTCATCTCATTGCAATGATTACGATCCCCTCCATACATCATCATTCAACAATATTTGCTTCTATTTCCTCTGGTTGTTTGTTTGTCTTTATTTGTCTGTCTGTCTGTTTGTTTGTTTGTTTTGGGATGTACACAAAAACACTCAGGAGTATATAATCATTTAAACAACCAAAGGGCACATTCTGCAAGCCTGCTTCCTGGCCACCAGCTCTCACCCTGTCACCAACACAGGGAGGCAGTGGGAGCTGTGCCGTTGCATAGTGGGGATTGTAATCAACGCCACAAAGCAACGCTTTTTGTGACATTGATTACAGTCTGTTCTGTAGACTTTCACCCAAATCACAGTCTCTGCCTCCATCTCTTGTGTCACTGCCTCTCTGGATAGGGCTCCACATCCCTCTCCCACTCTTCTCCCTTGATGGTCCTGGGGTCCTCTATTTCTGGACTGTAAGATTAACTACTCCCCCCTTTTTGTTACAAGACTTCTACCTTTACAACTGAGACAGTTGCAGTTTGTCATGATAACAATTACTCACTACTGAATCATAAGAATCTTATCCCCATCTCTTATCACCAGACCCATCTAGACAAGATGAAAATTATTCAGTGGAGACTCCCCCACACACACTCTTAAACTAAGCTCCCTCTTGAAACCTTGTAAGTCAGTCACTGCGTGCCTTTATTGCCCCCTCATTTTAGGTAGCCAGTGTCTAAGTTGCCCATCCCTATCTACCCTGTGTACAGAGGGGATAGCTTTGATACTTGATGTGAAGACTGCTTCCCTCTCCCCATGGATTAATTTTCAGCCAAACAACAGATGGGCTTATAGAGTGAACAATAACTCCAATGAGTCACGCATTCCTTAGAACAATCATGCATCGGAGACCAAGGGGCAGCGTTTGTTAGGGAAAGAAGTCAGAGGCAGGAAGGGCAGGGGGGAGGATGAATGGAGGTGGTAGACACAGGGAGGCAGTGGAGCTGTGCCGTTGCATGATGGGGATTGCAATCAATGTCCAAAAGCAACACTTCTGTAGACTTTCACCCAAATCACAAGCTTTAAATAATAAATGAATCCATTGAAAATTGTATCCCTGCCGTCATTCATTGTTGGTCTTCTCTGTCCACACCCGAAGCTCCACAGGGCAGGTCCTTGGTTTGGGTGGTGGCTGCTTTCCCAGCACCTGGCATTGACTCGAGCCCTGAGGAGGAGCTCACAGATGTGTGCTGGGCATGGGAAAGTGAACAAAACAAGAGCTTCACACATTGCACTAAACTCTCCCCAAGAAGAGGTGCTTCCTGATGAATTTAGACAATGTTGTTAATATCCTTGGAGAACACTCGACTATTCCGGTCATCTCTGATCACTAGAGGTAACAATCGTTGAGTAGTTGATATTTACCTGAAATAGTGCTCAACCAACAGCAGGGAGGAAAGAAAGGGGACCACCAACAGTATCTTTCTTTTCAATCTCATCCCCTCCTGAGGGAAAAAGGAGAACACAAAGGCTTTAAAAAGCAAAACACAAAACCAAACCATATCCTCCCTACCTTCTTGACAGGACACTGATATGTGGATATTTGGGCAGGAATCTGGTGTGGGCCTTGAGGCCGCAGCCTTGGGAAGAAGGAGACAGGGGCAAAGAACTCTGGTCTGCTTGAGGTGCCTGGTGACCCCTTCAGGTGTCTGTCGGGTCAGGTGCACAGGGTCCCCGTCACTCCTGGAATTCCTTTATTAAATCCACCATGGTTGCATAAAAGAAATTCAATAAAACTCTCTCTGTGCAGCTGTGAAAATCTAGTGTGGTCATTATGAGGAGGGTGCCCCAGCTGCCCCCAAAATCAACTTTTCTTTTTTCCCAATCCAAGCTTTATTTACAGAAAGCCAGCCATCTAGGAGATGGAAGAATCATTTCTCAAGAGCATCCTGTCCGTTATGAAGAGCAGACACATTAGGTAGGGTGAATTACCTCTGGACGTATATTTGATCTTAACATCAAGAGAGCATTCTTTGGGGAAAAGAAACAATAAATCAATAAACTTCCTGACACATTTTACCTTTAGGGTCTCTGCTCCTTAATTCCTGTGATCACTGGGTGGGTTTAAGCACATCCTAGTCTCCTTGTTGCTCTCCTGCTAGGACCACAAGGTCATCTTAGGTAATTTATAAACTTTCTCATTTGCAGGGTCCTCATTTGAGACCTAATGACTAAACCGACTCCACTGTGTGTAGGTCAGTAAATCCAGGCTTTAAGCTCCCACTCTTATTTGCTTCAAACGAAAATAGTTACTTTGATCCTCGGCATTGTTCCTTGGATCAAAAGAATTAAGCTTAGGGCGTGAAAAACAAGTTTGACAAAGGGTAATACAACAAGGTGAGCACTGAATTCAGCCACCTAGGAAAATTCCTATGACTACGATACAAAGCCACTCCTCACTATTAACATGGTCAGCCACCCAAAGGCGACTTCTCTTTGTTCCTCACAAAGGTAATAAGACTGGTCATTTGTCCCGATTCCTCTCGTCTGGACTCCTGTTGTCCTGCACTGGACTCCTGGTGTGGTGCTGGAGGGTCAGCACTGGACTGTGAACCACAAGGTCCGTGGTTCAAACACACCAGCTGTACCTCAGAAACCCTAGGCTGGGTGGCTCTGAGTCAGAATCGACTCAATGTGCTCTCTCAAAGGTGGAACTTTAGAATAGGGATGAAAATCTAACTTGGTATCGAGCTCTGACTCACAGCACCCTGTGAACAGGGTCTCCTTAGGGCTTCCAAGGCTCAGTCTTGAGAGAAACAGCGTGACCAGTGGTTTTGAACGGCCAGCCTTCCGGTGAGCAGCTTCGTGCTTACCCATGCACCACCTGGGCTCCTTAAACACAGAATCTTAGAACCAGTTGTACGGCCATCGAGTCTATTCCAGGTCATCACAGCCCTACAGGGCACAGTAGAACGGCTTCTCAGCGCTTCCAAAACCGTAAATCTTTACAGAAGCAGAAGGCCTCATCTTTTTCCCAAGGAGTGGCTGGTGGGTGTGAACCTCCGGCCTTTGGTTAGCAGCCCAGCACTTAACCCACTGCACCACCAGCACCCGTTCAGTGGAGGTCACTGATGTTCAGTTGTCAACACAGATTTCCTGGGTCAAGATCTGCAGCAGCCAATCTAGTCGGCTTCAGACCCCGGCTGCCCTGACCACTCCGGACGGACGTCCCTGCTGTAGTCTGAGACTGATGTGAGAGATCAGACACATTTTTGTGTCTTTTATGAAAACATGTTTTAAAAAGGGAAAATATTTCATTAATAATTTTCTTACTGATTGAATATTGAAAGGGTAATATTATGGATGTTATTACTAAGTGTAATCGAGTCATTTCCGACGTATAGCGACTCTGTGGAGGGTTTTGGTGGAGCAGAAAGCCTCATCTTCCTCCCACGGAGTGGCTGGTGGGCTCGAATCACTGACTTTGTGGTATGCAGTCCAGTACTTATCATATAGAGTCACCAGGCTCTCTGACAATCTGGATAAATTAAGTTAAAATCTATTATTTAATTCATACATTTCTTTTTACCTTTTGTAATGTGGCTACTAGAAAAAGTTAAACCCACCAGTTGCTGCTGAGAAACTCTACACAACATCGCTATGAGTCAGAACCAACTTGACGGCACTTAACTCATCTTTCTCCCACAGAGTGACTGATGGTTTCGAACTGTCAACCTTTCAGTTAGCAGCCAAGAGCTTGTTCATTAACAACAACCACAAACAAATCTGTCTTCAAAGACGTACAACCAGAATGCTCCTTAAAAACAAGAACGTCAAGACGTCATCTTACATACTTTGGACGATATCAGGAGGGACCAGTCGCTGGAGAAGGACACCATGCTTGGTCAAGTGGAGGGTCAGCAAGAAGAGAGGAAGCCCCCCAACAAGATGTATTCACACAGTGGCACCAACAGTGGGAGGATGGCGCAAGACCTGAGGCAGGTTTGATTTTGTTTTGTTGTGAATTGGAGCTAACTCAACAACACCTAACAACAGCAAGTAGATGAGACTCACATTATATAAAAGGGCTTCAAAAAGTTCATGGGAAAATGGAGTTGAAAGATAATAGCATTTTTCCATGAACTTTTTGAAGCCCCCTTTTGTTTCTATGGGACAGTTCTTCTTTAGGTAATGACACACTGGACAGGCTCCAATGGAGATAAAGCTTAGTGCCCCAGGATGTAAAAATGTCCACCTTTTCAAGAAATACCATCTGGATGGGCTAAGATGGTGGTTCATCTGGCCACACCACCTCCAGCAATGCATCCTCAATGATACCATACTGGAAGCTAGCACCAGGCTGATTTCTCACCTATCCTGACTTGACCCACCCAAACTTCCTTCCACACAGACCCTGACTCGTTGCTGTCGCTCCGACTCATCACGTATAATGGAATCACTTCCGGATCCTGCACAGTTCCCACAAGCTTTGCTACGTTGAGCGCATTGTTAGAGCTGCTGGCTCGAGCCATCTCGCAGGGGGAGTTCTGTTCCACTGACCTTCCACATGGTCAAGTATGATGTCCTTCTCCAGCAATTCACCCCTCCTGAAAACATGTCCAAAATACATGAGAGGGAATCTTGCCCCCCTCACTTTGAAGGAGCACGTTGGCTGTGCTTCTTCCACGGCAGTCTCTTCTTCTAGCAGTTCGTGGTGCATTCAATATTCTCAGCCAACACCATAACCCAAAGGCATCAGCTCTTCCTGGGTTTTCTTTATTCATCAGCCAGCTTTGGTGTGCATGGGTCACCTGGAAATACCACACTTTTGTGCTCAGTGTGACATCTTTACGTTTTAATACATTACAGAA